ACTATTATTGTGTGGGAGTCTAAGTCTCTTTGTAAGTCATTAAGAACTTGCCTTATATATCTGGGTGCTCCTGCATTGGGTATGTATATATTTAGGATCGTTAGCTCTTCTTGTTGAATTGATCCTTTTACCATTATGTAATGTCCTTCTTTGTCTCTTTTGGTCTTTGTTGGTTTAAAGTCTATTTTATCAGAGATGAGAATTGCAAGTCCTGCTTTTTTTTTTCTCTCCGTTTGGTTGGTAAATCTTCCTCCATTCCTTTGTTTTAAGTCTTTGTGTATCCTTGCATGTGAGATGGGTCTGGATACAACATACCAATAGGTTTTGGCTTTTTATCCAATTTGCCTGTGTCTTTTGATTGGGGTATTTAGTCCATTTAAATTTAGGATTGATAATGATATATGTGAGTTTGATACTACCATTTAAGGCTAGCTGGCTGTTTTGCCCATTAGTTGATGTAGATTCTTCATTATGGTGATGCTCTTAACCTTTTGGTTTGTTTTTGGAATGGCTGATACTGGTTGTTCCTTTCTATATGTAATGCTTGTTTCAGAAGCTCTTGTAAAGCAGGCCTGGTGGTGATGAAATCTGTGAGTACTTGCTTGTTCACAAAAAATTTTATTTTTCCTTCACTTATGAAGCTTAGTTTGGCTGGATATGAAATTCTGGGTTGAAAGTTCTTTTCTTTAAGGATGTTGAATATTGGCCCCCCCACTCTCTTCTGGCTTGTAGGGTTTCTGCTGAGAGATCTACTCTGAGTCTGATGGCTTCCCTTTGTGGGTAACCTGACCTTTCTCTCTGGCTGCCCTTAGTATTTTCTCCTTCATTTCAACCCTGGTGAATCTAACAATTATGTGCCTTGGGGTTGCTCTTCTTGAGGAATATCTTTGTGATGTTCTCTGTATTACCTGGAGTTGAGTATTGTCCTGCCTTGCTAGGTTGGGAAAGTTTTCCTGGATAATATCCTGAAGAATATTTTCCAGCTTGGATTCATTCTCTTCGTCACATTCAGGTACACCTATCAAATGTAGATTATGTCTTTTCACATAGTCCCATATTTCTTGGAGACTTTGCTCATTCCTTTTTACCCTTTTTTCTCTAACCTTGTCTTCTCATTTTATTTCATTAAGTTGGTCTTCGACCTCTAATATCCTTTCTTCTGCTTGATCAATTCGACTGTTAAAACATGTGCATACTTCTCGAAGTTCTCACATTGTGTTTTTCAGCTCCATTAATTCACTTATATTCCTCTCTAAATTGTCTATTCTCATTAGCATTTCATCAAACCTTTTTTCAAGATTCTTAGTTTCTTAGCATTGGGTTAGAACATGTTCTTTTAGCTCACAGAAGTTTCTTATTATCTACCTTCTGAAGCCTGATTCTGTCAATTCATCACACTCATTCTCCATCAGGCCTTGTTCTGTTGCTGATGAGGAGCTGCAATCCCTGTAGGAGGAGAGACAGTCTGATTTCGGGTGTTTTCAGCCTTTGCACTGGTTTCTTCCCATCTTTGTGGATTTATCCACCTGTCGTCTTTGTAATTGCTGACTTTCAGTTTGGGTCTCTGAGTGGACGTCCAGCTTGTTGGTGATGATGTTTTGTCTGTTTCTTAGTTTTCCTTTGGTGCATGCCCCTCCCTCACAGAGCTGGACCTTCCGGGGTTCAGCTGTGCTTGCTGTGAAACTCTCAATCCTCAGCACTTCCAGTTGCTGTTTTTTTGTGAGGGAATTTCTCCTGCGGCGACCCGCTGTGCCCGCTGAAACAGCGGCATTGAGATTCGTGGCATTTTTCTGCCCGGGAATCTCTTGGTCTGGCTCCCCGTTTCAGTTCCCTTTTCTTTTCTTTTTTTTGAGACAGAGTTTCACTTTTGTTACCCAGGCTGGAGTGCAATGGCGCTATCTCGGCTCACCGCAACCTCCGCCTCCTGGGTTCAGGCAATTCTCCTGCCTCAGCCTCCCGAGTAGCTGGGATTACAGGCATGTGCCACCATGCCCAGCTAATCTTTTGTATTTTTAGTAGAGACGGGATTTCACCATGTTGACCAGGATGGTCTCAATCTCTTGACTTCGTGATCCACCTGCCTTGGCCTCCCAAAGTGCTGGGATTACAGGGTTGAGCCACTGTCCCTGGCCAGTTCCCTTTTCAATCAGCTGAATGGGTGACTCTGTCTTCCCGGAGCTCCAAACGCCAACCAAAGGGGCCCCCAGGCCCGTATATTCCGCACTGAGAACCGCTGCGCCAGGGCACCAACAAAACAGCCATGCTGGCCAAAAGAGTCGCACTGGCGACCTGCGGGGCTCCTCCGCTGGGAATCTCCTGGTCCATGGGCAACAAAAATTCGTCTGGAAGTGTGGCGTCCACTCACTCTCTGCGCTTTCACTGGGAGCTACAATCCTGAGCTGCTGCTAGTCGGCCATCTTGGATCTCTCTCTCTTTTTTTTTTTTTTTTTTTTTTTTTGAGACAGAGTCTTACTCTGTCTCCCACGCTGGAGTGCAGTGGCACAATCTTGGCTCACTGCAACCTCTGCCTCCTGAGTAAGTGGAATGACAGGTACAGCCACTATGCCTGGCTAATTTTTTGTATTTTTTTAGTAGAGACAGGGTTTCACAATATTGGCCAGGCTGGTCTCAAACTCCTGACCTTGTGATCCACCTGCCTTGGCCTTCCAAAGTGCTGTGAGCCACCGCGCCTGGCCTAAAATGTGCCTCTTTTACATAGCATAAAGTTGAATCTTGGGTTTTTCCCCAGTGTGACAATTGCTGCCTTTTGATTGCAATGTTTAGTCCAGTCCCATTTAATGTAATTATTTATATGGTTGGATTTATATCTGCAAGTTTGCTATTATTTTCTATACATTTCATGTCAGTTTTGATTCTTTGTTTCTTTTTCACTGCCTGCATGTGTGTGAGAGAGATAGTACTAGTTTACCATTTGAATTCCTTTGTGTTTTTTCCACTATATTTTTGAGTCAGTTTCATAGTGGTTGCTCTAGGGATTACAATAGTCATCTTAACTTAATCTCAATCTACTTTAGTGTGATGCTAATTTAATTCCAGTAAAACACTGAAATTCTCTTTAATTCTAGCTCCATTACCACGTCCCTTTATCATGCTAGTATCATAAAATATGTATAATCTGTATATGCTACAACCCTAACAATACAGCATTGTAATTATTGTTTAATTCAGTTTTATGTCTGTAAGAGTTTGGAGAAGAGAAAAATGTATATATGTATATGGTTTTTTATAGTTACTCATATATTTACATTTTCCAGTGCTCTTAATTTCTTTGGCTTCGAGTCATTGTCTAATGTTATTTCCTTTTAGCTTAAAAGACTTCCTTTAGTATTTCTTGTGAGGCAAACCTGCTAGCAACAAATCCTTTGCTATGGATAGCAGCAAATAGTCTTTTTCAGGTTTGTAACATGTATATAGCTCTTAATAGTGTATTGTTTAGTCTTGCCTATTTTTGTACTTCCTGAGTCTTTTTTGACAATATTTTAACAATTTTGAATAGTTAATACATTTACATGGTTGACAAAAAAACAAGTTTAAAAGGGACAGATTGAAAAGGTATACCTCACCCCCAACTTTCCATTTCTCCTTGACATTGTAGTAACCACTTTTCTTAGTTGTTTGTAATTTCAGTTTTTCTTTACATAAATAAAAGCAAATACAAATATATGTGCTAATTTCCACCTTTTCTCTGACAAAAGAGAGTATACACCATGTGTCCTGTACTGCACCTTGTGTTTTTCATTTAATTTGTCCAAGAGATTTTGCCATATTAGTACAAAGAGGTATTCCACATTCTTTTCTTTCATAACTGCGTGGTATTCTATTGTGTGGATGTACCATAATTTAGTCTTTTGTTGGTGGTCCCTAGGGGTTGTTTCTTATGGTAATCAAACAATGCTGCAGCGGGAAACCTTGAGCATCTTACATATGTGTGGGTGTATTTGTAGAACAGATTCCTGGGAGTGGGACTGTTAGATTACAAAGTAAATGCATTTGCAGTTTTAGATGAGATTGCCAGCTTCTTCTCATTGGAAGTTATATCATTTTCACTTCCTCCACAATGTATGAAAGTGCCTATTTCCCTACCGTTTTGCCAACAGGGTGTGTTATCAAACTTACGGATTTTTTTTTCTTGAGACAGAGTCTCACCCTGTCGCCCAGGCTAGAGTGCAGTGGTGCAATCTCAGCTCACTGCAACCTCCCCCTCCCTGGTTCAAGCGATTCTCCTGCTTCAGCCTCCCAAGTAGCTGGGATTACAGGTGCACACCACCATGCCTGGCTAATTTTTGTATTTTTAGTAGAGATGGGGGTTTCACCATGTTGGCCAGGATGGTCTCCAACTCCTGACCTCAGGTGATCCTCCCGCTTCAGCCTCCCAAAGAGGAGTGAGCCTGGAATTACAGGTGTGAACCACTGCACCCAGCCAAACTTTTGGATTTTTCTACCTATGAGGGAATGATGTCGCAGCGTCATTTTATTTTATTTTTTATTTTTTTGAGACAGAGTCTCACTCTGTTGCCCAGGCTGGAGTGCAATGGCACAATCTTGGCTCACTACAACCTCTGCCTCCTGGGTTTAAGTGATTCTTGTGCTTCAGCCTCTCTCTCTCGAGTAGCTTGGATTACAGGTGCCTGCCACCGTACCTGGCTAATTTATTTATTTATTTATTTATTTTTAGTAGAAACAGGGTTTCTCCATGTTGCCCAGGCTGGTCTCAAGTGCCTGACCTGAAGTGATCCACCCCCACCAGCCTCCCAAAGTGCTGGGATTACAGGCATGAGCCACGATACCACCAAGCCCTCAGTGTCATTTTAATTTGCATTTCTCTTGTAAGTAATGATAAATATCTTCTTAAACGTTTAAAGGCCATTTGTATTTTTTTCTGTGAATTACCTACTTATATTTCTTTTTTTTTTTTTATGGGAAGAGTATGTTTATTAAGTCCAAGAGAAAAGATAATTCACTGACATGAGACACCCAAATTCCTTCATTTTAAAAGTAGTTTATGGATAGCATCAGGTAGACTAAACTACCATACTAGGCCCATGTCAAGATCAGGGTTGGGTCTATTAAATACGTCTTTTCTCCTGCAAGCTCAGTAGGTTCTGGAGCTCATTTACCACATCGCTCGCTGGACCCCAGAAAGTTGTCCATGGTCTGCTAAGTGACGGAAGACGGTACGACTAAGCCTCCAGCGCCGCTTCACACCACGCGGACGGGACGTCATAACACACCGATTTCTGATTCTAACGGGACAGCTATCCCGGGGGAAGGCAGCAATTTCTTCATCAGCTACGTCCTGTAGAAGTTTTGGCAAAATGGTATTCTTCCTGAGTGAATTAACACGTAGTCTCTCATCTGCGTATTCATAGGCCATTTTTCGTCTCTTCACATCACGCCACATTCTCCAGTCTACATAGTAACCTCGAACTTGGCCTGAAGCTGATGAAGGAACCATCTGCTTGAACGTCCGCAGCACCGAACCCAGTACAGAGGCCGCCATGTTGTCCGTTGCAAACTACAAAAGCCCTACTTATATTTCTTGTCCATTTTTTCCCATGGGCTTGTCTTTTTTCTTGACTCCTAGGAGTTTTTTGTACATTACAGAGATTAGCTCTTTATTTGTGATGAGTTGCAAATATTTTTTCAGTTTTTCCTTTTTTGCTTTGCTTACATATTTCCTCCTTCTTAGAAGTTTGTTGTTATTACTATCAAGTAGTCAGAACTTCAATTTATTTATTTTTAATTTTTATTTTTTAGAGACAAGGTCTCTGTCATCCAGGCTAGAGTGCAATGGTGTAATCATAGCTCACTGTAGCTTCAAACTCCTGGGCCCAAGCAGTCCTCCTGCCCCAACCTCCCAAATAGCTAAGACTACAGGTGTACACCACCACACCTGGCTAATTTTTATTTTATTTTTAAATTTTTAAATTTTTTACATGGGGTATGGCTATGTTTCCCAGGCTGCTCTTGAACTCCTGGCCTCAAATGATCCTCCCACCTTGGCCTCCCAAAGTGCTGGGATTACAGGCATGAGCCACTATACCTGGCCCCTGCTTTTTCTTTTTTTTTTTTTTTTTTTTTTGAGATGGAGTTTTGCTCCTGTTGGCCAGGCTGAAGTACAATAGTACGATATCAGCTCACCACAACCTCCACCTCCCGGTTCAAGCAATTCTCCTGTCTTATCCTCCTGCGTAGCTGGGATTACAGGCATGCACCACCACACCCAGCTAATTTTGTATTTTTAGTAGGGAAAGGGTTTCTCCATGTTGGTCAGGCTCATCTTGAACTCCCAACCTCAGGTGGTCCGCCTGCCTCAGCCTCCCAAAGAGCTGAGATTACAGGCATGAGCCACTGTGCCTGGCCACCGTTTTTTTTTTTTAAGATGCCTAGACTTTATCATTAGAAAGATATTCCCCACAATATGGCTACCAAATTGTCCCAACACCAGTGATACAATGTCCATATTGATCCCACTGATTTGATATGCCTTCTCTTTCATCCACTGACTACCTGTATGTATTTCTGAACTTTCTGTTCTGGTCCATTGGTATTTCTCTGTTCATGCATTAATACCACAGTACCAATGATTATGGGCCTTAGAGCATATTTTAAAATCTGGTAAAGCTAGTGGTTTCTCATTGCTTCCCCCGCGCCTTGAGTTTCCTGGTTCTTGTTTGTTTAGTTTTGTGTATGACTCTAAAATTAGCTTACCTAGTTTCTGTCCAAATGCCTATTGGTATTTTTGTTAGATAGTGTTGGTTTTATGAATTGAGGTAGGAGAATCATTTTTATGATATTGACTCTTCCTATTCAAAGACCTCTTCTGGCTTTCCATTGCTTAAAGCCTTTTGTGTTCTTCTGGAGTGGTTTTGAGTTTTCCACTTAAGTTTTGTACATTTTATATTTTCGATACTATTATAAATGAAATATCTTCCTTTTATTTTCCTTTTTTTTTTTCTTTTTTGAGACAGAGTCTTGCTCTGTCACCCAGGCTGGAGTGCAGTGATGTGATCTGAGGTCACTGCAGCCTTGACCTCCTGGACTCAAGCAGTCCTCCCACTTCAGCCTCCTGAGTAGCTGGGACTACAGGCATGCACCACTCTGTACAGCTAATTTTGTTCAGTTTTTGAGGACACCAGTCTCACTTTGTTTCCCAGGGCGGTCTTGAACTCCTGAGCTCTGGAGCCACCACACCTAGCCTCATCCATTATATCTGTAAACTGTATTGTTGTTTGGATTTCCTTTATTTTATTTTTATTATTATTTTTGAGATGGAGTCTCACTCTGTCACTCAGGCTGGAGTGCAATGGTGCAGTCTCGGCTCACTGCAACCTCCTCCTCCGGTTCAAGTGATTCTACTGTCTCAGCCTCCCCAGTAGCTGGGATTACAGATGCCTGCCACCACACCCAGCTAATTTTTGTATTTTTAGTAGAGACAGGGTTTCACCATGTTGGCCAGGCTGGTCTCGAACTCCTGACCTCGTGATCCACCCACCTCAGCCTCCCAAAGTGCTGGAATTACAGGGGTGAGCCACCATGTGCAGCCCATTTTGTTTTTTACAAGAGTTTGCTTAGCTCCATTTTTTCCATTTTTTTACTCTCATTTTCATAGCCCAGGATATTTTCTGAAAATTGTCAAGTGTTTCTTAATATATTTCTGTCTTGTAATAGATTATCTTGAAAATTAGTTTGAGAAATCAATGTAGTGAAGATGGATTAGGATATCTAGTGTAAATGTTGGATATAATGGTGAGTTTATCATAAGTCCTTAAAGGGTATGAAGGCTGAACCCCAGATTGTATTTTAGTTTAGTGGAGCTGGGCTGAGCATGAACCAGAACTTGAAACGCTGAAAGTTAACAGATTCGCTACTGAATAACTATTTTATCTAAAGGTTGAATGGCAAGTGTTAAAAATAAATACTTATCTAAGACCAAACCAAAATATCAACAACTTAGAATAAACCCCTGAGTTAATTAATCTGAAATTTTATTCAGAAATATATTATTATCACAATTTTATTAAAAATTTCAGGAGCCGTATTTTTAAAGTTTGACATTGAAAGCAAGAGATAATTCCTTCCCTCCCTCCTCCCTCCCTTCCTTTTTTCTCAGAGTCTTGCTCTGTCACCCAGGCTGGAGTGCAGTGGCACGATCTCGGCTCACTGCAACCTCCGCCTCCTGGGTTCAAGCAATTCTCCTGCCTCAGCTTCCCGAGTAGCTGGAATTACAGGCACCCACCACCACGCCCAGCCAATTTTGTATTTTTAGTAGAGATGGAGTTTCACCATGTTGGTCAGGCTGGTCTTGAACTCCTGACTTCAGGTGATCCACCCATCTCGGCCTCCCAAAGTGCTGGGATTACAGGCATGAGCCACCACACCGGGCCGGCAAGAGATAATTTCTCGGCACCATCAGTTGCTAGATTGCACGTGACTTTATTAGATTGTATGTGTGTCATACCAAAGAGATAACTCGAAATTAAATGCAACTCTAAAAGTTTGTTTTGCAATGTTATAAGTGTTAATGCACCAAACAATTCTACAAAGACTAGAATTATGTTACAATCTAATTTCTATTATTCTATCTTGTATTGTTACTTCTTTAGGTATTTATTGGTTTAACCAAATATATTGTTTTTCCTTAAGTTATTTAACTATTGTACTCTTCATTCATTAATTCACTCAACAAATATTCACTGACTGTTTACCCATTTTTTAAATATTTCCCTTTTTAAAAGCCAGGTTTATTGAGGTAATTTACATACAACAAAATTCATTCCTTTTAAATATATAGCTCAATGTGTTTTGACACTGCATGCACCACCACCAAAATCAAGATAGTAGAACATTTCTATACCCCTGGAAAGTCCTCATCTGCTTTTGTGGAACATGCCCTTCTCCTACCCTGGTTCTTGGCAATTACTGATCTGCTTTCTGTCTCTATAGTTTTGCCATTTTTAGAACATCATGTATTAGATAACCTTCTGTTTCTTGCTTCTTTCACTTAGCATAATGCTATCGCGTTTCATCCGTGATGTAATGTGGATCAATAGCTTGTTCCTTTTTTGTTACTGAGTAGTATTCCATTGTCTGGATATATCACAGTTTACTTATATATTCGCCATTCATTGAACATTTGGGTTGTTTTCAGTTATGAGGTATTATAAATAAAGCTGCTATGAACATTTGCTTACATGTCTTTGTATGGGCATGTGTTTTTATTTCTTTTGAAATAAATACCCAAGGTGAGATTCCTGGGTTGCGTGGTAAGTGTATGTTTAACTTTAAAAACATGGCAATCAGTTTAAAGGTATCTGAACATTTTTCATTTTCAGCAGCAATGTATAAGCTTTTCAGTTGTTCCACACCCTTACCAACTTTTGTTATTTAGGAATTTAAAGTTTTATCCATTCTAGTGTGAAATGGTATCTCATTTTAATTTGCATTTCCCTACTGACTAATAATGTTGAATATCTTTCGTCATGCTCATTTGCCATCCATATATCCTCTTTGAAGTCTCTATTTTATTTGTTTGGCCATTTAAAATTTTTTTTGTCTGAGGTATGTATTTTATATTTTCTGGATACCAATCCTTTATCAGATAAGTTTTATGCAATATATTCTACCTGTCTGTGGCCTTTTCATTTCCTGAACTGTGTGTTTTTTGAAGAACAGAAATTTTAAGTTTTTGACAAAGTCCAGTTTATCAGTTATTTTTTCCTTTATGGTTTGTGCTTTTTGTGTTTATCTTAATACATTCTTGATAGGTTAACTAGTTAGCTCTCACAGTCATTAATTGGTATTTTCTTCTTACAATAATAAATATGTCTCTCAAGAGATTAATAGAATTTTTACTCCAACTTATACATAGACTTAAGAAATACAAATGGTACACTTTGTTTATATTACTCAGATTGTTATGCGATAATTGGTCACTAACAGTTAAGGGATACCGCAAATGATGTTGCAGGAGATGTTCAGTTACTTCTGAAGATCAGAGATGATTTTTGCCTAAGTCAAACTTTGGGATATCCCTAACATGTATTGTCTGGTTCTTTGTGTTTATTTTGGCATTAAGTACAAATTTAAGTATTTCCATGAAGAGACTCAAGCGCAATCATAATTTTCACAAGACTAGGTCATATGTTGGCTATGCAAGCATTTGCTGACTATTTGCTGTACAGGAACACAGGCCTCACAAGGATGGCTCTGGGAACATTATGCAAAGGGAGTTATTAAGAAATTAGCTTTATGATCCCTCTGGGGTATCTTCCTCCGCCTGTGCAATGAAGAGAGTGGTTTGGAGGAGGCTTGTGGCCTTTAACATTTTATGTGTATAAGGATCACTGTCATCCAGACATTGGAACTGTTAAAATTCCATGGCACTCTACCAGAGTAATTGTGACCCAGCTTTATTTCTTTAAATGCAGTTAAGGTTTTGCTGAATTTTTAGTGTTTAAGAGACTGCGTTGGGGGTACCAGTTGATAGGAAGAGAAAATAACAGGTTTCTGCCCCTGAGTTGACACTCTTGAGTGGAGCACAACTGTGCACGGTGAGCCAAAGGGTGAGGCAGGCCTTGTGGTTGATTTTAGGGTATGTGAGGATCAGTTGTAGGAAACGAGACAGGAAACATATTCAGGGAATAGATTGTAGGGACCTTGATTGCCCTTTTGGGACACAAGGCTTCATTCCATTAAAAAGTGAATTAGCATTAATAAGGGAAGGCTTGGGCTGATTTAGGCCTACCTGAGAATGACCTTTGACCTCCTACACTCTATGTCCTTGAAAACAGTAAAAGTTAAGATAATTGGGGGATGTTGTGCTTGCCTTGATTGTCACATGGAGCTGTCCCTCCATTGGGAAGCTGTGAATTGGCCTGGGGACATTTGGCATGCCTGAGGGTAGTATAAAAGATTGACAGGAAAAGGGGCTGTGGCTTTTTTCACCAACAAGATCCACAAACATCTTGCCCATCATTCATGGCAGTCATACCTGACCTGTGTAGATGAAGGGCAGAAGTAGCTGTAGACTTGGGTAGCTGCCATGCCTCCCATCAAGATGACGTTGTGGTCCCCTGATGTGTTTCCTCTCCTGTGTAAGCAAAGTAAATATTGCATTAAATGGAGACCAGTTTGTGTCTTGGGACTGTGGTTGCCAGCTTGATCTCATCACCGTAGCTGTGGCTCTGCGCTGACACCTTGAAATGGAAGGTTAGCATTACAAACTGGGCTAACTGGGCTTGTGCTGGGGATGTGGGGGATCTGAATGGGGGTTACAGCAATGACAAGGTGAGAATAGGGAGAATCATCTGCCTCCAGGACAGGCACTGAGACTCCTGTCAGCAGTTCTGTCACATGGTCTGGGGAAGAAGGAAGAATAGAACTTTCAACTATAGCTCTGGTGAGAGGTCTGAATGAGACCAGGGGCTCTTCTTAGCTGTTTAAACATTTTTAAAGTTTTTATTTTAAATAACAAAAGTTAACAGTGCTTATATATGCCAAGCACCATTCCAGATGTTTTATTTTATTTACTTTTATTATTTTGTTTTTGAGACAGGGTCTTCCTTTGCTACCCAGGCTGCAGTTCAGTGGCGTGATCATGGCTCACGGCAGCCTCAACCTCCTTAGGCTCAAACGGTACTCCTAACCTCGGCCTCTCAAAGTGCTAGGATTGCAGGAGTGAGCCATGGCTCCTGGCCCATTCCAGACATTTTATAAATATTAACTCATTTAATTCTTCCAACAACTTAATACTATTTATAGTTGCCTCATGAGAAAATTGAGGCACAAAGAAGTTGAGTGACTTGCCCAGGTCATGTAGGTTAGTAAATGGTGAAGCTGAGCTTTGAATCCAGGCAGTCTGCCTCTAGACTCCCTTCTCTAAACTCCTCTGGTTCCTATAGCTTCACTTCACTATTCTTCCTCATAAGTGATAAGTGGTTTCTGGTTTTGCTCCAGTGTTTGCGTTTCTTTGTGGCTGCTCAAGATGAACCAATTCTTCGGGAAAGTAAAACCCAAGGCTCCGCCACCCAGCCTGACTGACCACATTGGCACTGTGAACAGCAGGGCAGAGTCCATTGACAAGAAGATTTCTCGATTGGATGCTGAGCTAGTGAAGTATAAGGATCAGATCAAGAAGATGAGAGAGGGTCCTGCAAAGAATATGGTCAAGCAGAAAGCCTTGCGAGTTTCAAAGTAAAAGTGGTTGTATGAGCAGCAGCAGGACAATCTTGCCCAGCAGTTGTTCAACATGGAACAAGCCAATTATACCATTCAGTAATTGAAGGACACTAAGACCATGGGTGATGCTATGAAATTGGGAGTACAAGGAAATGAAGAAGGCATACAAGTGAAAATTGACCAGATGAGGATTTACAAGACCAGCTAGAGGATATGATGGAAGTTGCAAATGAAATCCAAGAATCACTGAGTCGCAATTATGGCAACCCAGAACTGGATGAAGATGACCTGGAAGCAGAGTTGGATGGACTGAATGATGAGCTTCTGGCTGATGAAGACAGTTCTTATTTGGATGAGGCAGCATGTGCACCTACAATGCCAGAATGTGTTTCTACCGACACAAAAACGAGGATGGAGCTCCGGTGGATGAATTTGGATTGCCACAGATCCCTGCTTCATAGATTTGCATCATTCACGTATATCTTGTAAAAAAAACCACATATTATGAGACTAGGAAATAGTTATCTTTCCAAATTTACCACAACAGATTTAGGTTTCTTTCCTTTCTTTGAAGGAAAGTTTAATTACATTGCTCTTTTATTTTTTTCTGTTAAGAGACTCATTGCTTGGGAAGTGTTTTCTTTTTACTAAAATTTGATTCCTTTTTTTCTTATGAAAAACAAACTTGGTTTAAAAATATCTTTGGCTTGTATGACTTGTTTTCATTCATTATTAATACTTTGAAATAAAAGTAAGGAAATGGAATCTTAAAAATCTATGACAATGTAACTCCACAGTCTTAAAATGACCTAATAAATTGATAAGACAAAGATGAGATTATCAAGGCTGTTCATATTATGATTCAGAATCATTTTCTATCGCAGTATTATAGGTTGGTTAAAGTGATGGCCTTTTTGATGGGTTTTGTTGTGTTTTGTGAACAAATCATTACTGTGTCCAATATTAGAATGGAATGATCACTACTGTATCATGAGTGGGTATTTTGATTCTGTGGTTCCCTCAGTATTACATCTTGACTTGTAATCAATAATGAATATTTCTTGATATTTAAGGTATAGGACATTTATACTCAGTAAATATTTTTCAAAAGGATATAATTTTAATAGTATCACTTCAGCTTAAAACCTCTACTGCAGAAACCAAATTTAATAGAATTTTAATATCATTTCAGCCTGTAACTTCACTACAGAAACCAAATTAACCAGTAGCGTTGTGAGGAAAGAATAAGGAACAATCTGGGCTTGGGCCCTGGGTCTACCATTTACTAACTACTGAGTAGTCTATTCAACTTCTCTAAACTTCTGTTTCCTTATTAGTAAAATCATGCTTAACTCACAGAGCTTTTGTGAGGAATAATTGAGGCAATGCTCATAAGTACCTTGTTAACTGCAATGGGCTATTCTCATATGAGAGATTGTTAACAATAAAAAAGCAATGGCTTTAAAAAAAAGAGAACGACATGGAATTAATCATTTTCAAAATGTCATTGTTTATTGCTGTTGTTGTTTTGAGAGGAAGTCTCACTCTGTTGCCCAGGCTGGAGTGCAGTGGTGTGATTTCAGCTCACTACAACCTCTGCTCCTGGGTTCAAGCAATTCTCTTGCCTCAGCCTTCCAGGTAACTGGGATTACAGGCATGTGCCACCACACCTAGCTAATTTTTTGTACTTTTAGTAGAGATGGGGTTTCACCATGTTGGCCAGGCTGGTCTTGAACTCCTGACCTGAAGTGATCCACCTGCCTCAGCCTCCCAAAGTGCTGGGATTACAGGTGTCAGCCACTGTGCCTGGCCAAAATGTCATTGTTGATGAGTCAGTCAGAACACTCACATAGGTTACAGCTGCACAGGGTGACATCGCTGGGCAGTTTCCAGGGAGCACAGATTCCTTATGCTGTGTGTGGGTGAATGTAGCACCTGCCCTTTGGCTTGTACCACTGTTCTGCATACCAAGGAAGGCCTGTGCTATGGTTTTCGGGCCTCATATCACATCTGTTGACCCCCTTGCTACTGAGACAGCCCCCTCTCCAAAATTCTTGGGGTCAGATGGTATACTATCCCCTCCTCTTGGCATCCTTGACAGGGTTCATGGCTTTGATGCTCCTGCAGTCTCCTACTTAGCCTTTCCATAGGAGAGTGAGTACATTTTCTTTGGAAGGAAACTCAGGAAAGTCTGAGCAATAAGTATGCATTTGGGGCTGACTCTGGGAATCAGACATTGCTTTGTGGTGATGTTTTTGCTTTCTTTTCTTTCTTATTTTTTTCGAAGAAATTTTATTGTCAGTATACCACAGGCTGCCCCACCCAGGCACATTAGTCGTGACAAAGGAAGCCAATTGTTCCTTTTTGAAGATGAGCCTTATATTACATGAATCATTATATTACCCCTTATATGAAGTCCACCTGTTATATGTGGTGGTGACTGTATTTTGTCCATATTTCCTTTGCTATATGGAGAGATCAACTGTAGCTTTTTCATCATGATTTTCATTCCTTCCTTCAAAGCAGTGATTTGGTTTCTAGGTCGGCATTGTAAGCAGCCTAATGCTTTGTCACAGTACTCCAGCTCCTCACACTGCTGGCTGAAGAGAGGCTTCTAAAATAGGTTGATCAAGTTGTTGTTTTTTTTCATTGTCGTATTTTGTACCAAATGAAGCGTGACACATCCCACTCTGTGACAGGAGCTATGAGTGACAATTGGTTCCGTGTGGTGGCCTAAAATTACAGAATGTTACCTGCTGCTTGCTAAGGAAGAATCTTCTGGAGGTTTTCCCTGTATGTCTGTGGGCCTGGAGCCCACAATAGAACTTGCGTATAGCATGTAATAAATTATAATCCCAGTGTGCCAATGACCTGCAGGCACAAAGAAGAAATAACTTGGTCATGTAAAGTTTTGGAGTTCTTACATCACCTGTTTAATGTTATTTTTAAACACCCATCTCTCATTTGGGTACTTTCTTTAATAGTCTAATTTTTTATGTGTAATACAGAAATCAAACATCATAAATGGTATTGATAAAAGTCCTTCTTTGCCTCATGGAATTTTAGTTTTTACAAATAACCTTAGAATAATTCAGGTAACTAAGGTATATGGAGCAGCAGTGCTACTTGTACATGAAGAACTCTATTACTCTCTATTCTCCATTTTTCTGCCAGTAACTCAATTAGCTAGATTAACAAACATTGTCACAGAAACAAAGTGTATTTTTAAAAGCTATGGATCTTTGTGTTTATACTTACAAAATGCCATAAACAGGCATTTCTCCCTTATTAAGATGACTTAAAAGGGTGTTTAAACATTAAGACAGTGATGATTTTAAACCATAATAAAACCCTAAGTTAAGGCTTTTGTTTTGAAATCCACATTCGTACCTACTTATATGTGAAACACCTTTGCATTTGGGGCCAATGTGCTATTAAGGGTGTTGTTGTACCCAAGTACCCACTACCCACCCTTACACACACACACGCATGCACACATACACACACACACACACACACACACACCAGAGAGAAACTGTTTTCTTAGAGCCCAGGACCATCAAAATAGATTTTTTTGACTTAACAAGCCTTGAACTAGAATAGGAAACTCACATTTATTCTAGTGTTTGTGTGTTTAATAGTTTGAAACATGAAGTTATATGTTGATTGTAGATGTAGGAAGCAAAATGGAAAAAAATGCATCTTGCTAGCAAACATCACTGACTGCCTTCACTAACTGTGAAGATGATTACTTAGCACAATACGTAATCATCTTTTCTTATTGTGTTTACTTATTTATGGGCTAACCCTCCCTACCTGCTCTAGATGGAAGTTGAAAAAGGCAAGACCCTTGCTTGTCTTCCTCGAGATTGCTCAGATATTTGTTGCAAGAAAGTTCCCATAGCCTTGGTGGGTTGGTGGTGCTGTGTAATAGGAAGGGTCTTTTCTCAACCCTGAGCCTTCACTTTGGAAGCCGTGCTGTGTTGTGATTAATTCTAATAAACCTGTGCAGCATTTGAAGATAACCCCACAGGAAACTGAATTTTGAGGCAAACGTGTTTATTTCTTAGAAGCTTAATGGATGGATTGGGAAAAAAAAAGAATCATTTGCTTCTAGCTTTGGAAGCCAGAGAAACCACAGGCTGAGGAGCATGTTCTTGTCCTTTAGTCTCCTATTAGCTTGCAGCTCTAATTTCTATCCAGGGTAATATGACCGAGGGGAACTATTTGCATCTTTGAAAATTCCACTCTTCTGCTGGCTGATAACAATAGAATAGTGGAAATGTATCTTGTGTGTTCTCTATCATTATGGATAATTACTAATAAAGTCTCTTTCTGGCAGTTCTCATTAAGTGATTTAATTTTAGAAGTGGAAAGAACCATACCTATTGGAACACTTGATTCTCAACAGACTATTATATTAAACTTTATTAAGAATAATAATTATTTTTATTCTATTATAGTACACTTAATAATTCTTATTAAGAATAAGAATTATTCCCTGGAATTTTTTTATTCTATTAAGCTTAATAAGAATTATTTTTATTATGTTAAACTTAATAATTCTAATTCTTATTAAGAATAAGAATTATTCCCTGGAATTTTGTAAGATCACCTCAAATCAAATTATATCTTCAAAAAGGACCATAAAGATAATCACAGTCAGAAAAAAATGTTTAAAATCATTATTAATATTGTTATATGTATATGGACCAGAGGTGATCATTTTGTGGGCATGCTGATTTGAAGTCCTTTTTTCAGTCTGTTTGTTCTTAAATTTAGATTTTGTTGTACTGTGAGACCTTACCTTTAACATCCATTCATGTGATGCTTTATCACTTTTTTGAGAGGTTTTACTTTGGAAATTCAGGATACAGTCTTGGCAGTATAAAAACACAGGTGGTTTTGCTTTGCAAATCCTAGGGGTTATTTGGATGATCAGTTCCATCAACTAGCATCCCCTTCTTTTCTCTTCTCTGTCACAGCTGTGAGGGAGGTCTTGGAGGACAATAATGCCAGGTAGAGGAGGATGCAAGGTGTATGTGGGGAATTCTGAGGAGTTGAATTTGATGAGTGTTTATGTGTAGGGGCAGATGGCAGTGGCTGATGGAGAAGGAACGATTGGGGACTCAGGGGAGAAGCAGCGGGGATAGTTAAGAAACAATTGCAGAAAACCCAGTCAGGGAACTTGAACCAGAGTAATGATAGTAAGGAGAAGAGGGGGTGACCAGGAAAATGCTTGAGAAGTAGAGTTGGCAAGAGTGGGAAAGGACAGGATGTCGGGGTAGTACCAAGTTTTTGTGCTTGAATCAAATAATTGCTCAAGCCCTAGAACCAGGGTTGCTTTCTGAGGAAAATCTTCTTTGTGATTATAGAACTTCTCTTCAGCAGACAACAATATGCAAGTCAAGATCTTTGATTTATTTTTCATAGCAAGTTTCATTACAACCAACATACCTGGAAGCTGTAGCCTATAGATCTTTTACATTACCAGCTATTGAGGTCCTCAATAATGACCTTAATCATGTTTGTTGTTCATCTTGTTCTTGTCAGAAGTCTGGCTGGAAAGTTTGGTATTTGAGAGAGGTATGTTCTTAAGGAATATATTACTTATTAGTTTCTCAAAAAATAATTTAAGTCAAAACATCAGGAAATTACAGATTAGATCATGTTATTTTGCCCTTCAGTCTTTCACTCCTGGAATTGCCCTTATAGAACCAAACTATGTCTTTACTTTTCTTAGAGCTACTTATATATGTAATGCCTTCACATTTAGAAGAAAAATGTTATTAAGGCTATTGACCTTCATGGCCCCCTCCCCCTAATTTCCACAAAAACCCTGAGATAGTTTCTTCTTAGAACACAAGACCAACAAATATTTTTTTGAGTTATCAAACCTTAAGCTAAAGTAGGAAGACTATGTTTGTTCCAGTGTTTTCCACTTTGTTCTTGTTGCAGGAAGCACAGTTTTAAGCCTCTTTTCTATGGTTTTCTTCAAACAACTTTTAAAATTATTATTTTTATTTATAATGCTCTTTTATTCTTTTATTTAAGTTATGCTCATATATTAACTGGATTTGTGTTTTTAGTTTAACCCATTTTAGTCAGTTGGA